AAAGAAATTAAATTGCCTATCCCAGGTATATCTTTGTGCTATTATTCCAAAGAGAACTTGTGGCATATTCCAATACCTAATCTTATTGCTGGAATAATTTATTTTCTAGCCTTTCTATAATAGCACCAGAAGAATTTTAGCCTGAAACCTAATAATTTTGACTTTTTATGAAAGGGACCTCCTAAAAATATTTTCTTCTTTTCCTTCCTCTAGAAAGTAAAACAAATCTGATATATTTCTCTCTTTCCAAAAGATATCATTCCAGGTGAGTCAGTTACGTCCATATTGATGACAACATGGTATTGAATACAGTTGTAAAGGAACAATAGCATTTCTTCATCTTCCATTTTTGAGCAACCTAGACATTTGGTTGGCCACTCCAAACACCAAAATGGTGAACTGAGATGAGTCTTGGCCTGATGAAACAGGCAGTTCCTATGTTCCTTGGTGCACGTCTCCTCTATGGATACACAGATTTTTTATTTTTATTTTTTTTGCTCAGGATACATTTAAAATATAAATTCAATGTTGATTTTAGCTAGTTTTGTTCATTTTGGAATACTATATTTTTTGCTGAATGTTAATGTTATTCATGCAGTTAAAAAGCATTAGCAACCTTGCTTGATTTGTTTGTTTTGTTTTCAGAAGCCAGCAGCACCCTGACAGTATGTATAAGCATAAACATTAGCAAAGAACAGCACATTTCTTTGGCAGGCAAAGTGAAAAGAAAAAGTCAAAATCTGTTGAGTGATGAAGCAGGAATATAATTTCTTACAGACAAATTGGCCAAAGAATTATTTTTTTAGTTATTTTTTTCTTATTAGATAATCATATTCTGGGTATAAAAGTTGCTGCAGCTGAATACACTGATTATTATATGCTGAATGATATTGTATCAATGATCATTATGAATGTTCTATATCAAAGATGATCATTGTATTAGTCTGATGAACAGTCAGGTTACCTGGATAATTGTAACTAGTCTCATACACTTCTTATAAATTCTAAGCTATCTGTGAAAGTGTGTAAAAATGTGCATTTTTAGTTGATGTTTTTATGACAGTATACAAATAATATAAAAACAAGGATAGAAGAAAGTCATAGATTGGCTGCTCTAAAATATTATACTACAAGTGCAAAGGAAGCAGGTGAGTTCAACTTTTGTGGATATATGTTCTGCCATAGTTTCAATTTAGGCCATACAAGAAATCAAATTAGCAGGTATCCATTGTCTCCAGATAAGAAATATTATAATAATAGAGCTGTTAGGTTTCAGACTTAGAATAATAACTTTGTCACTTTGTCACTTTGAATGTACACTAATTGGCATACATTAAAATGAAATTTCATTGCATACAGCTCTCAAAGGGTCACCACCTTGAAATATTGACATAACTTTGTGGATAAATCCATTTTTAACAACTGGCCTTTCCAGTGTATCACAGTAAGATATTGGTTTTTTCACATCTATTTCAGTGTAATTCTTTGCTTCCTTTGGGTACAACCAGTGGTCGGATTCAGCCGGTTCGCACCAATTTGGCATAACCAATACCTTTTTTTTTTTAGTTTGGTGAACCAGTTATACCAAATATGTATTTTCCAAAACACATATGTTTTTTGTTCAACTTCCTTCCAGGTGGGGCAAAAAAGAAAACCCTTCCCAAAAGTCCAAGAGAGGAACAACGGAAAACAGAGATGCAGTGTCTTCTATCACATTACTCAGGTAAAAACTACCATGTTTCCCAGAAAATAAGACCGGGTCTTTTGAAAAGACCAATTAGGTCTTATTTTCAGGGTGTCAGGGTTCCCCCACCCTAACCCTAACCCTACACATAACAGAGAGAAATGCGATGGAGAAACGCAACAGAGCTGGAAATCAGGTTAGCAAAGAAATATTTGGGGGAAGCAAGGGAATCTGGACAATGCTGCGTGGGGCAAGCTCCGGGAAATGGAGTGGCCAGCGCGAGGGAAGGAGGAGGAGAAGGGAGAAAAAAGAGGGAAAGCAGCCTCCTTACTTCATGCTGGCTGCTCTGTTTTCCATTTCTCCATTGCAGAGCAGTGTCCAGGATTGAGGAAGAGAACCGCTTGTTAAATTATTTGAATCCCACCACTGGCTACAACTTATTGCATTAACATATTATTTCAGATTTTGAAGTGAAGATCATGCAATTAATCTACTAAAGATGATATGGGAGAAAATATTAGCACATCTTTAAAATTCTGTAAAAAGTTAACTATTGTATGAAACAACATCTGCACACCAGCTTCACTGTAAATGGCAATCACACTTACTATTTTTTTACTATTTCTCAGGCTACTAGTATCTTTATATGTGGTACTATTGCCCTCTAATGGTTATTGATTTGTTAAAGTAAAAAAAATATTTATTCATTTAAATATTCATTTAAATATGCAATTTTTTCACTTTATTGGCATTTACCAGAGGATGCTCCAGATTTTTAGAAGGCTTATATTTCCAAAATGGCCCAAATTGTATCATTCATAATTAATTTCAAAAGACAAAGCATCGTATCATTTCTTCTTTAGAGAAATGTTATCTAGATAGATAAATAATGCCTGTAATGGACCCTGTAGAGGAAAGTGTAGAGATATCATAAAATGGCATGGGCAAAGTATTGATAATTAGCTGTAAAAGATATGGTTGGAATCTGCAATTTGGTTACTATGGAGAAAGGAAGGAAGGCTAGAGGTCCTTTCAGTTTCCAACTTAACTGAGGACGTCAGGGTGAAGGGATGTTTCTGGAGGAAAGCAAAGAAATGTATCTGATCAAACTTGAGTACGAGGCCGTATTAAGGATGACCTTTTGACAATAAGAGTGGTAAATCAGATGCAGGAAATATGATAGAAGATGGCAGAGATATAGTCCTGAATAAAACAGTGTCACAGTGTATAAGAGATATCTGGTTAAAGAGGTGACATCATCTCTCCCCATGCCTTCTGCCATGTTAGTTTTGTGGTTCTCAAAATTTGTATCTCTGTTATTGGTATTGCATCAGTTGAAAGTGTTGTGTTATTTGGACACAAAGATAGTATTAGATCTTTTCTTGTATGTAGTTTTCCACTATATGGATAGAATGTATGAAGATGAATGTTATTAACTGTCTTTTAATTATCAACCCTTGGCTGGGTTGATAATTGGCTGTGGCTGCCGGCATCCTGATATAGCCAGCTGATACCATTGTTGATTATTGGGGGCAAGTCATTGGCCCCCACAGAGAAGGCTCGCAACTTGGGTGTCTTCCTGGACACGTGGCTGTCTTTAGAAGAGCACATGACGGCTGTGGCCAGGGGAGCTTTTTATCAGGTTCGCCTGATTCGCCAGTTGCGCCCCTTTCTAGATCGGGACTCCTTACGCACAGTCATTCATGCCCTCGTCACTTCCTGACTGGACTACTGTAATGCTCTCTACATGGGGCTACCCTTGAGGTGCACCCGGAGGCTCCAACTGGTCCAGAATTCAGCCACACAGGTGATTATGGGAGCGACATGGCGCTCACATGTAACACCTCTCCTACGCAAGCTGCACTGGCTCCCGGTGGTCTTCCGAGTGCACTTCAAGGTATTGGTTCTTACCTTTAAAGTGCTCCATGGCTTAGGACCTGGGTACCTACGAGACCACCTTCTGCAACCGATAACCTCCCACCAACCAGTACGCTCCCACAGAGTGGGCCTCCTCAGGGTGCCGTCAGTAAAGCAATGTTGGCTGGTGGTTCCCAGGAGGAGAGCCTTCTCTGTAGGGGCACCTGCCCTATGGAACAGGATACCCCCAGGGATACGAATGATCCCAGATCTCCGTACTTTCCGTCGTGCCTTGAAGGCCTTTTTATTTCACCAAGCCGGACTGGCATAAATTTTCAGTTTATCTAAATTCTACCCTGAGGATCTTAATTGATGAGCCAAATCGGTTTAATTATTTTAAATTATTTTTATTTCACATTATATGTATGTTATTCTGACTGTTCAGCACCCTGACTCCTTCGGGAGAAGGGCGGTATGAAGAATAAATAAATAAATAAATAAATAAATAAATAAATAAACAAACAAACAAACAAACAAACCAACCAACCAACCAACCAACCAACCAACCAACCAACCCACCCACCCACCCACCCACCCACCCTTGTCTTTTCTGGCTGATTAAATCAAACAAAAACTTCTCTTGATGTGGAAATCAGTATATGAAATTACAGCCAGTCTCAAGCATATTACTTCTAAGAAAAGGTCCAGACACATTCTAGTTCCAGACACATTCAAACAACACTGATTATCTGGACCTATTTCCATAGCAACGAGATGCTGAATCTGTTTTGGATTCCTAGATCGAAATTGGGCAGGGAAAGTTCATCCTTTCTAGTTTTCACCAATTTTTGATAAAATCAATTGTGGTAACTTTTTCTTGAGCTATCTAGCAGGATTTGATCTGCTGGGTTATTTTGTAGTAATGTTCCCTTTGTTCTACCTATGTAGTCTGTTAATTTCCTTAATTATCAGCTACAACATGGTTCAAAGATGATTACCGCAGCAAGAAATGCATTTGCATTATTAAGATTAGTGTTCCAGCGCTATCCCTTTCTGGGTCCATGAGATTTGGTGACCGTAAGCCACATCTTGTTATACCCATTTTACAATGCACTCTATATTTGATACTACACTTGAAAAATGTATGTTTGATGTAATATCTGAGTTCTCTATAATGTAATTAAATTTATGGCTCCTGTACTTTAAAAAAAATACATGAAGCAATCTTCTTGCTAAATCTAGATCTGTTTAGTTCCTGGATGGAGAAGTAATGTATACTATAATTAAGAATACAGGACTGGTAAAGGAAGGAAGTAAATATTACAGTAACTTCAACTTGTTTAACCTACTGCTTTTGATTTGATCCAACACTTACTTCCATCCTATATAAAGTTTTAATATTGTTTTAATATTGTTTCTTGCAATATGTGCTGCAGATGGACATAAAAATAAACAAGACTACTGTTATTATTTTTATTGCTTACCCAGAAAAACACAGAGACTTGTCCAGGCAGTTGTCAAGAGTCAACATGACTTGAAGTCAGACATACATACATGCATGCACTTTATAACTTAATTTCCCTTTAATAATCAAAGTTTTTTTTTATATTAAAACCCAGCCTGGTTGGAGAGGCCTATAAGATTTACACTGCTTTGGACTTTCAAGATATAAAATATGTCTGCAAAGTTGTATAGTCTAGAAACTGAAATGGACATTATCCAATTAGGAAGGTAAAAACAATTTTAACAATGTGTTGCCATGCCTGAGAGTTAAAAGATGTTCCTTTCCATTTTTCACATCTTTCTATTGATTTCACAGCTGAGACAAATTGCAAGGATCTGTGCAATAGAAATAGTTATAGAATTATGAATTATTTCTTTTCATTTTGAAATACAAGACAAATTTTTCAAAATTACCTAGAAAATTGGTGATGACAAAGGAAGGAACAGGCATGTCCAACTCAAAACAAGCCCATGGAGGTAAGTTTCTTGATACCATATGTTTTTAAATTAACAAAAAAAGTGAATACAATATATATTGTGAAATTACTGGTTAAGCTAGAACTGTTCTTATGTGTGGATATTTTTGAAGAACACAAGGCTATACTATCACTATAAATTATTGTTGATGTAACTCTTACGCTGGTGAAAATCCATCAGATCAAGAAGAAAACTGGACAAAATATCACAGCACTAGCTTGTTTTAGGATGAAAGAACAGGTTCCAAGTACCAGTGGAGGAAACAGTTACTCTATATTGTTGTGAGCTAATATGTGGTGACTTTGATGATTAAAGCACTTTGTACAGAGTGCGCTTTATGTAAACATATTTTTAACTAATCCTTATAAAGTTTTCTTTCAATAGCCATCCCTTCCAGCCTTCAGACTTTCAGTTAATTACAGTATTCAGAAAATCTTTATGTAAACATGGTTGGAATTAAATATGCTGATTTATGTATGCTGATTACTCTCTGGAAGAACACAAAATATTAGTAGGACCTATAGCCATCTTTGCATCCCAGTGTTTTCAGTAGCTCCACATTATGAAAGAAGAAAAGACTGGTGTTCCTCTCATTGGTACCATTGTTATTAAAATCATGCTAATCTTTATTGAAAAAGGCAAAATATTCTAAACATCTTTTCTTGTGAGAAACAACATCCCACCGTTGTTAAGCAGGAAATTTGTGCATGCTTTCAAAAGTGATTAAGAAAGAGCCTAGTACTCTCTGCTATTCAACAAATAAGTTCAACTTTCTTCAGATTTTGACAAAAGCCTGGAAAAGAAATGGCTTTCTTGAATAATAGAGATGTGCTTGCTCTCATATGGGATCCAAAGCACTTATGAAGCATGCCCATACTTACTCCCAAACAGTAAAATTTTCAGTCCAGGTTCATATTAAAATAATTGATTCAGAAATAGATGGCTTGTTTACATATTTTAATGTAAATGTTTTAGCACATATACTTCCTGAATTTTAGAATGTTTTTGTCACCTTAGATCTCCAGTTGGATTTCCTGATAACCAAATCATTTGAATTTGAATATTTTGTCCTCTTTTGATGGCGAACCATAGAAGAGCAATATACCATTTCTTTATTCCCTCTTTCCTCGCTTTAAAATTAACCTCCATTTTATCTACTTCCATTTCTTCTGGGCTCTGAAATGAAAGCATATGAAAGTTTTAAAATGTAATAACATAAAATCTGAAAGTTATAGAGTCAAGGTAGTCTACAACAAACCATAGATCATGACATTAATAATATAATTTGAATTCCTAGCTGTTAGTACATCTTATATCAAAAAATGGGGCTTCACAAACATGAAGAAAGCAATTAATTGAAATTGCCATATCTTAATGGACCATTACTTCATGTATTACTTGGATTATCCACACTTACTTGTAAAGTAAGTAACTTTTTTCCTTAGTCAAGTTTTAATTATTAATTTATATAAAGAAGGACTACAGATAAGACTGGTCTGTAGCTAGACTTTAGGTAATATTTTATTTCATGAATTTACCCTTTTTCCATTAGCAATAGAAAAAATTATTTTGATCTCTTAAAAATCTCTCTCCATATTCTGGATTGCTACATTTTTAATACTTGCAGTATATTACTATCACCTTATAAATACCTGAATGCATTTTTTCAGGTTTAGTATATATTTTAGAATGCGGGCTTCTTTTTCTCCAGGCTGGTATATTATACGCTGAAGCACACCTCTCTTTAAAGAAAAAGAAAGAAAAGAAAGTTTTAATTTTTCTCTTTTATAACCTTGACTCTGTCATTCTCTTTAAGCACATATACCAGAATTGTTACCATAACATTTTCTGATATTACATAACAAAAAATCCTATTGAGAAAATAGCTTTAATTCTATAAGAAAATGCATTCTATACTTAAGCTGAAATTGTGATCAAGATTTTTTTTAGAAATCTTCTTGTGTACTTAATTCATTTATTTTAAGGCATTTTTGGTTAGATATATATTGTATATTGTCTATTCTTCAGGAATAGATGGGTGTCTTCCTTTTATCTCTACAAGAATTATGTATGACATAGATTGAGTTGACAGAGAGCGATTGGTCCAGACTCCAAACCTACATTTATTGTTTTCTGTCTCAAGGTTGCAAATCTGGGCTGGAGACATCAGGATAATCTCTAGATGGCAGCAACAACATGTTGAACATTTTAAGCTTTAAAGCTCTAGTAGTAATTTGGATTTTGTAGCACAAATCATTTTAAAAACACTTTTACTTGATGCTACAAAGCTATAATGAAAAGTTTTTTATAAAAATAGAAAACATGTGAATACAATTTAAACAATTCAGACAAGAATGTAAATTAAAAAGTCTACATAATACAAACTAACAACTAAGTACATATGCACAAAAAAAAAACCTTATAAGGAAATGAAAATATTCCAGATTTCTTTATATTACTCAAAGTTATTTTATGAAATGTTTAATTGATCATTATATAGGATGGCTGATTTAGCTTCTGTAAAAAAAGCTATTCAAATCTACTGAAGATGAAAGGCTGCTACGCATCCAGATGAAACAAAGAACATAAAAGCTTTATGAACGTATTGATAACTAGCTGTTTTATGCAATTTATATTCTTTTTGTTGCCTTACAAAAATTGTGAAAGTTTCATTAATAATTAAGAGTAACATACTTTTTGCCCATTTTATTTATTTTTTTAAAAAAATTTCTTCCATTTTTAAATAAGGGTGTTTTAGATCAGCAATTGTTCGTGAGAGTTCAAATCAAATCAAAATGTCTTTCCCAGTAGTAACCCAAACCAACTACAGTGTTCAAAATATCACGGAATTTTTATTCTAACTGGAACAAGCACTTGCCAGGATTTCAAGGTTGATAAGTAATAATTCTCTAATAGGGCCTTCAGTATTACCTTTCTTGAAAAATATTTAGGAAGGCACATTTAAAATATGGTATATAAATAAAATTCATTAGATATGAAAAACAATTGTAAAGCATATTGTGCTACTGCACAAAGGCTGAACAAAAAAGCACAACAAATCAGATGGGGCACAAAATATTAGAAGAATAAATCGATTGCATTGAAAATGTTTATTAAGAAATTGCTACATTTCAGTATACAAATAACAAGTAAATTTAATGTAAAGGGCATTACAACATTAAAGCAGAATTGTGATATAAAGTATGAATGCAACAAAACTATCTGAAAATCTTTAAACAATCAATATCTTTCTCTGAAAAGTTTGGTTTTAATTTTATTAATAATATTTGGAGCAACTAATTTAACAAAGTGAAATAATGATTTCTAGAGATATCAACATTTCTTAAACAACATGGCAGCATTTTTCTAGTTTGTACAAGGTAAAACTTCCAGCTTCTCCGTTATATTTTGGGAAGACACTTTTCAGAAGAGGTGATATTGCTGAGAGTTACAGAATATAAACCTCTAAAAGCTCACAGTAAAATTCAATGTTGGTGTAATGGACTGATGTAGAGGAAATGTAAAAAAAATATTTTTTCCCTGAAAGTGACAACAGCATAGTATGTTATAATTAGTCTGAATTATCCCAGTCTTCTATTACTAATCCTTTGTGCTATCTACATATTTTTTCCTTTTAAATGTTATTTACCATTTTTGAAAAACAAAACTGGTGAATGAAGTAACAAAATGAACAGGGAGTTTAGAAGCATAATAGAATTAAGATTAAAATCTATTATGTCAATAAACATTCAATAACAAGGCAAGAGGGGATAAACATGAATTGAAACTTTTCCAGTATTTTTTTTATTTCTAGAAAAAAAGGCGATTAACATCAATGAAAAGTAATACTCAACATCCCTACATGAGCTAAAGAAGAGGTAAGAATTTTGCAGCTGAATTTATTTAAGTTATCTCTGAATTGTTTAATCCTGGCTTGTGGACTAAGCCATAGACCATAGTTTGCAAACCACAACTGTTGCATTTACATAACACACTAAGGGCAAATATTTCATACATTAAGATTTAGATGCAAATCATAAATACTAGAGCAAGAAACAGAATTAATGACATACCATTAATGTAAAGTGAGATTTCAAAATAATCACAAACAATATTAAAAAATAGTAATAACTGCTACAGTTTGCCTTCTTAGTAAATATACTCCAGTGAACAGCACTAACAGTTAGGCATTTTTAATAGAAAATTAACATTATTGCAGAATTTTTGAATGGCGTTTCTTGTAACCTCGTTCCTCATTGCAAAAACTGAATTGCAGAGACATTGTATAAAACCTAGAATCATATTCATTTAAGTAACAATGTACTTAAGTTATTTTAGATAGATCTTTCTCGAAATTAATTCCAAAAGCAATTTATGCAGTTAATAAAGTTTAAATCTCATTGTTTCAAATTCATGTACAAAACGACAGAAGATAAACGTCTCTTCCTTGTAGAGACAAAGTAGCAATGTTGAAAGCTTTAGGACACTGCATCTCAGCTGAAAAACCTTTACTGATGAAACAATTGTATTATTTAATTAGCATAGCATCTCATTAGGAAACAAGGTGATGCCCCTATCAGAAAGAGATCTTATGAAGCTCGATGCTTACCTGTAGATAAATTCATTTTGGATTCTTTGGCTACCCCAATTTTAGCATAGGTGAGATTTTGTGATCTTCCAGCCATTGGAGCACTCAAGGAAATACTTCTCCCATTGGCTCTCTGAGAAGGAACATAAGAGGCATTCTCAGCATTCTTGATTTGATCATTTTGTTGGCAATTCCCTTTACTTTTAGAGTTTGAAGTATGCATTGCTGCAAGAGATAATAAAACAATCAATATTTCCTCCCAACATGTAAGAAACTATTCAGGGCTCAACATATACTGCAAGGATGGGAAATCCATTCCAATTTAGTCATCCATGAACTCAGAACATCCCAGCTGGAAACAGACCAGCACTTTGTGGAGGACTTTAAGTTATCCATCACTCGCAAAATGAATTAAAATACTGGGTCCTAATAGAGAGCTCCATCTTAGTAGAGCGTGTCTGATGATGGCAAATTGTAAAATAGGGCAGACTGTGCTATTTGGAATGATTCAAAAAGTTCCTTTGAAATACCTTTTGCTGTCAAAGGGGTAGGCAGATTTTTGGATTCCTCAGATAGCCATTTCTTTTTCTTTACTCCCTTAAAATGATGCTTCTTGATGCTTTCTGTATGGCTTGTAGCTGAAAAAAAATGTTAGGATTGTGTTGTTCAGTTCTAGAGTAACAATTAGTAAGGAAGCCAACAGACAGATCTATCTATTCCACTAAGTCATTGTTTTACATGATTTCATGAATTATCTTTCTAGTAGGCTTATTCAACTTATTAAATCTCAAAGGAATAGTTTGGCTTAGCACACTCTGAATCAGGATTATCTGTGGCCTCCGTTCCCATGTTAGCACATGATCCAAGAATTCGATTCATAGTTTTAACAATCTTTAAACACTCATCCTAGAAATATAATGGTCTGATGTTTATAGCATCACTATTACTGCCTGTTATTTTATTTACAGGTATTGTCTTAGTGGTTGTCTCCTTCACTATTGCTATTCAGTTCTAGTTGCAAAACTGGCATATGAAATGACCTACAAATACAGAAATTTCCTAGCAGGGTCTGAAGTATTTTTAAACTGACAAAAACAGTTCACCCTGAAGCAAGGTCAAACCGTTGCTAATAGCTGCAAAAGTATAAAAAAGAAACAGGATATCCAGGGTGATCTATAGTATATCTATCCACTAATTGTTCTACTCAATTGCTAATAAACATACATGCTTTCTTCCAGAAAAAGCAAAGGCATCAGAAGTCAGTATAACCAAGCATTTGCTCAAATCAATATTCAACAGAGGACCTACTGTCAATCTTCAGAACAATTTCATTCTATTGCTATTATAATAGTAGTTCAAGTGCTACTGTGTTTTGTTTTGTTTTTTAGCATTTTATATATTTCATCCAAGTATATGAACACTGGCTGGACCAAACAAAAGCAGCAGCAGTTTCCATTTCCCTTAAAATTAGCACACAAGTGGCCAGGGGTTACAGTGAGCTAATGATGGTGCAAATTGAATAAGACAGAATTTATATTTGTATCGCAGCTAAATTAGCCCTATTTGGGGCTTATTCTACAATGTTCCTAAAATGAGGCATGATTGGAAGACCTGCTTGGGGACAGATCACCCCCGAGAAGGTCTAAGGGGTTGATTTGATGCCACATAAGTAGTTAAATCTAATCATACTACTACAGTACTAAATATAATAGTACTAGTACTACCAGGAACTATGCCAAAAAAATCCCAATCAATATTAGTGCAGAGGTGTTTTTCAAAAACAATATAGCAATGATTGCCACTGAACTGTCATATCCTCATCCAGTGATACAATGTCACTAGCATGAGAATATATCAAGATGATTTCCCCAATTATGGCATCATATAACCAATACATGGCTCAAATCACCCTTTTGAGTGGGGTCTAACCTTTTCTGCAAGACTTCTAAAATTAGCAATTTCTTTGGGGTATATTTTAGCCAAAGCCCTTGCCAGAAACGTTTTAAGACAGCACATATATTGATTTTTCCATTGAAAAAAAAGAAAGGTGAGACATGAGTTCTGAATACCTTTAACGTTTAAACATTTTAGCATGGTAAATTGTTTCTCTCCATTGAACATTTTGTTTTGTATCCCTTCAACAAATATATTTCTTTGTGACAAGTAACAATCACCTCCTACAGAGAAACAGATATATCACAGAATTATCAGAGAAAATGAAACAATAACAAGAAACATACAAAAGAAAGAAATAAAAAGAATAGTATTCTAGATGTCTGCTGTTTTCCCTTTAAATGGAAAAGCAATGAATGGCAACATTTGCACATGAAACAAAGTTGTTTAAACTAGCAAAATGAAATGTGATTCCATGGTATGAGCATCAATGGATCCTATGTAAAGCCCAAATGGCAATAACTCTTTCATGTGCCTGAACCATTGCAGTGAAATTGCAAATCTGTAAGGAGATGTCTTATTGTTTCTTTTCAAAGGCCTTCTGCTTACTTTAAAAAAACTATAAACACATACCACATCTAACATGAAAGGAAGAGATAGGAAAATTTTGCAATCAATAGCCATAATCAGTTGATATCACACCTAAAATGCTAATTCAAATCATGCTACTTCTTTCCTGAAATTGTACATTCAGAAGAATTGCCTATAGCAGGGGTGTGAAACTTGCGTCATCACGGCGTCAGGTGACATATCAGTACTTTTTTCCCCTTCACTAAACCAGGCGTGGGCGTGGCCAGTGCTTGATGCATCCGAGCCACGGGCCATGAATTTGACAACCCTGACCTACAGGGAAGAAATAACCCACCTCACAAGGTTTTTTGGGGGGAGGTAAAGTAAGACATGGGAACATGTTCCCATGATGTACACTACCTTGAGTTATACAGAAATAAAGGGAGGGTGTAAATCTAATCATCATAATAACAACATAAAGTTGTCCTAATAAAGCAGGAACTTGGGTTATAAGGAAGCCTATGTACACATAGCTGTATACTTTATGTAGCTTTCTCTTTACAAATAACTACAGTGAATGTTTACAAAGGGCTGACATCCAAAAGCAAGACCAAGAGGTGATACGAGGCTTATCAGGAGTGCTCACATATTCAGAAATTTGGGGCATTGCATCTCAAAGGGGATAGGGTTTCTTTTAGAACTGTATTGTTTGTCTGGGAAATAACACTGCAGTATTGTAATTACTGATACTGTACAAAGCACATGAGAACTCAGTTGCTTGGAAATAATTGAATGGACACTCTTCACCTCCATATTCTTTTTTTCTTACAGATGATTACACCAATATCCTTGCTGGGGGCTTTTATTTCTCAAAGGTCTATTCAGCAGCTTCCCCCAACCTGCCACCTAATATTATCTTGCTTGTTCTGATGGAGAATCCTTTTCTTTTGTTCTGAAACCTGCGGCATCTCTATTCAGGAACAACAATGCAGGTGTTTTTGTAATATGTTGATTCAAATCCCAAGTCTCTCTCCTTCTCTTTTTCCCTCTTTGTCTCTATTGTTGTTGGTTTCAATAGAGAAAGGAAGCAAAAATTGCAGTCTGAGAAGAGAAGGTAAATGTAGCTTGCAAACAATCCCAACACTTCTTTAAATAAAATTAAATAAAGACAGATGGCATTGCTTCATTAAATTGGAAAATGAAAAAAAAACTGAGCAGAGTTTCTGCAAACTAGGTAGTTTGTGTGTGTGTGTGTGTGTGTGTCTGAATGCAGGTTGCTGCACACTTATTTCATTGTCAGTTATAAGAATTTAAATGTAGAAATTGTATTTTAAATAATTACCTCCATTTTCAAAGGCACTAAGTTCAGATTTAGAGCAACTGTCCACTGAGGCTGTTATTTTTGTTTGCCTTTCTATAATGTTAAACTTTGATGGAACTGCAACACCATCACCTAGAACGGTGAGAGAGAAAATCTGGGAAGTTATTAAACTGCATGTAATAGGAATAGTTTTCTGTAGGGACAGTTATTATCATAGCATTATCTACTGTTCTATAAGCTTTAGACCCCTACCTATTGGCAATATGGGGATCTTAAGTATGAAGTTACTAAGTTCTACTTATCATTTTTTCTATAATAAGATGGATTTTCTTAGGAACAATTAATAAAATATGACTGAATATTTTACTTAATTCCATGGCTGAAGTAACTGGCAAATTCCCCATTGTGACATCTGTTAATTGGTACTTTTAGTTGGCAAGTCTAGAGATTGAATTTGGGCTTCTTCCTGGAGTCTACCTCTAAACAATATGTTAATGTGGATTTTTAAAATGAATATTTCTTATCTTTAGAAAGATAAAACAACATTTAAGATCCAAAATTAAAAACTTCAGCTGTTCTTTTCCTTGCCTTCTTGTAATTCTCTGCATGTTTCCATAGGTTTAATGAGCTCATTCTCCAGCACTGAAGAATTTTTTGTTAAATTATTTTCCTGAGAAGTCTGAATTCTATAATATTCTCCTGTTTCATCCACAGAAAGACAAAAGAAGAGAAAAAAATTGCTATTGTTATATCAGCTAAAAAAATGCACCAATGTTCTTAGTTGATATAACAATAAGATTCTTACCAGATTTATAGCACATTTCCTTTATTGCCTTTTCTTCTTCTATATCTTCTGGTGTCTTTGACAATAAATAAGATGCATCTGTATGGAACAATTTTAAAAAGTTATTTCTAATAAAATTCTTTCCAGGCTTTTTCCTGTGCCATATAAAGCAAATCTGAATTGCATTTACATTTATAATACAAAATAAAATCTTTCTTTTACTGATGGAATAGGTTTAAAAGAAAAAGTTAGATTATTTTTTTCTAAAGAACTCCTATTCTCCGCTTTCATTCTTTCGTTCCCAATTGGGCATAAGAAAAAAACATGTAAAGAGGATCAAAATATCCTTACAAAAAATATGTAGAGAGGACATTTTGCTGTGTGGCAAGTACTGAGTTTATGAGTTCAGAAAAAAAAGAGCCACATCTGGACAAAGAAAAATATTCCAGGAAAAAAAAAATCCCCTCAAGTGAGAAAAATCTTTTCCTATGGAGAAGGAGATGCACATATGCTGATATGTTACTAACTCTTCCATTCTCGGCCCCATTTTCTCTGAGTCCCAAGACAGAGTGTATGCAACCGGCCCTAAGCTTTTCAGTGCACACATTGACACAAAGGCACAACACAAGTGGAAAACAAAAGCACATGCATGCACCATGTTATTTTGTTACATGGAAAAACAGAGAGATTTTTTTAATGGCTATTGCTGAGAAGAACTTAGAAAGAATTCCAGAATCTATACTTTATATGCTTTCCCTTCCTTCTTAATCTTTCCATCTCAACAGTATTGGAGAGAAATTATGTAAAAGGTCTTCAGACTCTGTCCATCAGTCTCTAAAACCTAGTAAAACAGGGCCAAATTTGGATTAATGGGACAAGATATCAAAGGAAAGTTTAAAGTAAAAAAAAAAAGGATAAATTTGGGACTATGGACAAAAATTTTTTTTCTTTCTTTTAATGAACTTGTAGTCCCTTGCATCGGAGTCAGGGTGACTGAATGGAACTGAGCGTTTACTGGCCGGGTGCCCTTTCTGATGCCTATGCAGAGTTCGCAGCAGACAATTACTCATTTCATCCAGAGAAAGAAAGAAATATCTGCCACTACACTGAACTCACAGCCTCCTGATTGTGAGGCAAGAGCTCCACCTCTAGGCCACCATGCCGCTTACAAAATATAGAACAATATTAATAGAAAAATCCCCACGGAACCCTTCAGAGAGCATTAGAGGAGTCCTTTCAGAATGTTTCATCCTAAGCTCCATTCTAAGTTAACTTCCCTCTTCCTTTCTAATACTGTTGCCCCAGAATCGAGCTCCTTTTAAAGGATTGGAAAGAATTTCCGAAACCATATTTTATTCTACATGAAATATATATATAATATGCTTTTATTTTCAAAATCTGGATTTACAGATGAAGCAGACATTCTAGACCCATTTATCTACTTTTTAAAGAAGAGCATTCATCTCCTTTTTTAACTATGTCTCCAAATTTAACAGTAGGCAATATTTTAGATGTATATAGGCAAGCAAAGAAAAAGAAAGGCAAGAATATTCATGCTGGGATTAAGTTTTCATCTCTTTCTAAAAGACAGTATGCAGACAAACATGAATGTTTGAAAAAATATTTACATTTTTCTTCTTGTTCTTCCTCTTCTTCCTCCTCAAGATTGATGGTAATAATAAGTGGAGGATGAATAGGCCTTAATGTATTCTCCTGACCTTTTGTGGAATCTTGATTTTGAGCAGGATGCAAAATTCCTTCCTGAACTTCCCCTTGCAATGTAGAATCTATTGGAAGTAACTTTAAATTCAGTATAAACCTTTTGAATTGAGACTTTGAAGAGTTTAACAGACTTAACTCACTCATAAAAGCCAAAATAAAATTTAATAATTATATTTAGAATGTATATTATCACCTGAACCATTAACCAAATCAATCAATCAATTAACTTAATAGTATGCAATCCTATTCACAATGACATAGGATAAAATTCTTACATGTTCAATTGGAATAACTTTCTGTTAAGTACAGGTAGGATTTCAGCCTTGGTTCATTAAGTGTTCCAGACAGTTTATACATGTTATTCTAACTGGCTTCAGTGACATTTATTGTTTCATATGTTTTATGGCAGCAGCAAAGGAAATAAAATATACATTAACTCTGAAAGAAAAGATGCCTTGAAGGAAATGCTTCTTTTAAGATCCTATTCACACCTCAAAGTATATAAAATTAATTGCATATTACAAGAGAGCAATATTAAAGAAAAGATCCCATATCATGCTAAGCATTGGTTTTCAACTATGTTCTGACTAATCATACATTGCATTAATCCATATTCAATGGTTTATCATTCGTAATGAATGGATCCATGATAAAGTCTCCAACTAAATGAACAAAGCCATATTATTAATATTGCAATGAGTGAAAGGTCTATTGCCTTAGTGGCCAATTATTTATTTGCCTGAAATGAAAACAGTACTGAATTTAAGATGATCCTCAACCCCATAAAAAAGGAGTAAACCAAACTTACCCACACATGCAAAAATCTTGTTTAATGCCCAAATTCTTCATTTATACATTTAGAATTCCTATTTTTAGCTAAAAGCAATCCTCAAGTTACAAACTCATGAACATAATGTAAAATGTAAAAACACCTTTGAGTGCAGCACAGCTCCTGGGTTGTCCTTGTCTTCTTGAGGTATTTTTCAATTTCCCATTCAACCCTATAATTTCCCTATAAACAACCATCCAAGCATTAATTACCCCTAATTCTGATTTTTCTTTGGAGCCCAGAGACAGATAGATAAAAACAGATTTACATGCAGACAAAATACAATAAAATGATTGTGGTAGCATAAAATATAATAATTACATGATTTGTATGGGTAGTCCTTGTTCAGCAACCTCAATTGGTTCCAGCAATTCAATTGTTAAATGAAGTAATCACTAAGTAAAAATCATGTGACCATAACTGTGTTTATGATTTTACACTGACTTTCCTTTGCTTTACAGTGTCAGAAGAATATACTCCCAAACAACTGAGTGATTGTTATTATTAGAGAAGATTTCCAGAACATGACTCATGATGAAGCCAGGTAAAAGGGCAAATTTTGTTCCACACTCCCTTGTCCGTTGGGAGGGACACTCCATTATCCCAATGCTGGGATAATTAGCAAGAAGCAATTTTTTTAATAAAAAAATGCTTTCATTGGAGAGGAAGGAATTGTAAGACGGTAAGAAGGCACACAATGGGGAATATATATGAAAAGAAATGCACTGTTTGCCTAGCCCACTTATGGATGTAAGCTGTGAGCTGCTTAGGAGGCAAACAACAGCCTTTAGTGTGAATCTGATTAGTCTTCTCGTCAGGCAACAGTGCCAGCCAGCCTGAGGGTTCTAATCAACTTATTAAAGCCACAGAGCTAAGCTTGTTAACTTGTGGTTAGCACTTTTAGGGATACACTGTAGTGTGCAGAAAAGCATCTGAAGAAGAGATTGCTTGTTTAGGCAATACATTCACTCTGTGAGGAGGGAAGCGAAAAGGAAAAGAAAGAAAGAGAGAGAGAGAGAGAAAGAAAGAAGGAAAGAAAGAAAGAAAGAAAAGGACTTTTCAGTGGTGAGTTGCTACTGGTTCTCCCCAGTTCTTGCGAACTGGTAGTGGAAATTTTGAGTAGTTCGGAGAACCGGTAAATACCACCTTTGCCTGGCCCCACCCCCAATCTATTTGCTGCCTCCCGAGTCCCAGCTGATTGGCTAGAAGGAAAAAAACTGTTTAAACTCTTGCCGCGGGGCTTCAAAGGGCCGCCCTACAGCTGATCAGCGGTAAAAGGCAATCTGGTGGTAGACCAGTGTGCTGGAAAAACAAATGGGTAAACCGGTGCGCTCCAAAAACAAATAGGTAGACCAATGCCTCCAAAAACAAATAGGTAGACCAATGCCTCCAAAAACAAATAGGTAGACCAATGCCTCCAAAAACAAATAGGTAGACCGGAACGCTCCAAAAACAAATGGGTAGACTGGTACGGCTCTGCAAGCAGTTAAAAGCCTGGTAGACCAGTACCTCTGCTAAATCCTAAAGAATTGTTTGTCACATGACCATCAAACCATGCCCACAAAATAAGCCACGCCCACAGAAACGGTAGTAAAAAATTTTAGAACCCACCCCTGAGGACAATGTATACTAACTGTGTAGGACAAGGTATGCCTGCCTAGAGTTGAGACGGGCAACTATACAAATTAAGTAAATAAGTAAATAAATAAAATAAACTGACTTTAATAACCAACATGTAACTGCTAGAGAGAGAGTGAGAGATGCTGCAGGCATTGGTCACAAAGTTACTTTTTCATCATCATCGTAATGTCCTCTAATATTACAGACCATTCCATAAATCTGACAACTTTAACATCTTAATTATTTATTTATTAAATTTGTAAGCTGCTGGACTCCCAATGACCCTTGGTGGTTCACAAGTAAACTACCAGAGCCAAAAAGAAAAAAAGGAAAACATACAATTAGTTAAAATCAGAGTAGCAGAAAAAGTTCTCTGTAAAAAGAATAGTCCCGTAGCAAAAAAAGAGCAGAGCTAGAACAAAAAAAAAAAACCAATAATTAAAAGATACTGCGAAAGTATTCCTTCAAAATTAATTGATTTCCCATCTTCATGTAAGCCTCTTTTTACATACACTAAGCATGATCACCCATAGAATCACACAAACCTGAATTCCTTCTTTTGAGAAGAAACAAAACAAAAAAAGAAACATATGGAAGATGACAAGGACAAAATAACCAGGATGTAGGTGGTATGAGAGAAAGGAGTACAGATAGTCCTTGACTTATATCACAATTGAGCCCAAAATTTTTGTTGCTAAGTGAGACAGTTGTTAAGTGAGTTTTGCCCCATTTTACGGCCTTTCTTGCCACAGTTATTAAGTGATACACTGCAGTTGTTAAGTTAGTATACAGTTATTAAGTGAATCTGGCTTCCCCATTGATTTTGATTTTGATTTTGTCACAAAAGGTGATCACATGGTCATATGCAGGACACAAACTATGATAAATATGAACTTGTTGCCAAGCTTCCACATTCTTATTACATGACTGTGGAGATGCTGCAATGGTTGTAACTGTGACAAACAGTTATAAGTCAATTTTTTCAGTTCTATTGTAACTTAGAGCAGTCACTAAATGAATGGTTGTAAATCAAAGACTACATCTAGTGCAGGGGTGTCAAACTCAAGGCCCATGGGCCTTATCCGGCCCGCGGGGTGCTTAGATCTGGCCCACGGAGCCAACCTGGAAACAGCGAAGGCACGTGGCCCTCCTGGGCTCCGTTTTTGCTGGCAGAGTGCTAGCAAAACAAACTACTGGTAAAAGTGGCATTTGATCACGCAAGTGATGTCCAGCTGGCCACACCCACTCCGGCCCCCCCAAGGTCAAACATAACCGTGATGTGGCCCTCAGTGAAATCAAGTTTGACACCTCTGATGTAGTGGGAAACTAAAGGTGGGAACTAAACTAAACGTGGGAACTAAACTGTGTGGAGATGAGGCAGAAAGAAGGCATAAAGGGACAGCAAAGAGAAAGAATTACAACACCAGATCTAAAGTCCCATATTCTTACTAAGTTAACCTGCAAGTACATCCTTAGAAGGGTACTCTTATTCCCAGGGAAGGCAATGTGACCCTCCCTCCCTAATCAAAACATGAGACTCTTCTCATCAAGTAAATATGGCACTCTTTTTGCAATCAGTTTCCTGAAATGTTTGTACACAATTAATATATACAATGCATCAAAGTTTTCCTTTCCTTAAGCTTCTACAACTCTGGGAAATCCTAAATCTTTTTGCCTTTATTGTTCTTAACATGCTTTATTTAGGCAGGGTATTTTCTTCTCCACCATTTTCTTATCTAGCTAAAACTAGTATGAGGAAATGACTTTTCTTTCTAAAACATAATTCACATGGATTCCATTGAGAATAACAGTAAAAAAAAAAAAACCTCTCATGCAATTTGCAGAAGAGGTATATATATATATGACATATTCCATATGTAGATCTTTCTTGTAATATTCAATTGTCTTTTATTATTAAAGCACAACTTTTTCCACATGTATTTTTCCATACAGAAAATAACATTATATTGGAACCATACTTTTAGTATTGCCATAAAATGCAGCATTTATCTTTTCACCATTTTATAAACATTTATACCATTTTTTAAAAAGAACAAGAAGTTCCTGCATTATGCAGTACATCAGTTATTCATATTGCCTCTCATCCTCACTTTCTCTGAATATTATCCTGGAAAGAGTGCTGAATACTTAATGTATCTTTGCAATACTTATTTTAGGCAGGCATTACAGAATATAAAAATACTGTTCCAGACAACCTAATTCAACAAGAATATCTTCTTCTTGGAATATAAAAACTGTTTTTCTCCATAAAAGTTTGGAGAACTGTATCAGAGCAGACAAAATTAGTTTAAGCATCCTAGAATCCTGGCTGATGGGTATGAATCAAGGAAGTGCTTCCTAAACTTTTTTCTTCATTACTCAAAATCGCTTATCAGAACGTCTTATTGAACTTTGAGGACCTGTGGTAATTCCTTCCTTCAGTACTGTTAAAACTTCAAACAGTCACGGAACAAATAGTCATAAACTGAGGACTATGTGCATTATACAAACAGTATCACTGAACAATATGCATGTCATTTGAACAAATCGCAGTTGGTAATTTCATTGATTTTCCTCTTGATAGGAATACTTTAGAGATTTTCAAATATATTTTAGCACACATGGCAATCTTTACATCAATTATATGTCTCTTTTGTGATGGGTAATAGGTTTGTGGGTGTTGTTACCCAAAGAAAAAACACTTTTACCCAATTTGGATAATTTATTCACGTTTGAGAACCACTGAATTTAAAATATCAGTAGCAGCAACAAAATAATAGTGAAGCCAATTAGTATTCACTCTTTATTATAAATAGGCAACTATATCAAAACTCCCAAACATAACTCCTTCGTATAAAAGGACTGGGTAAATTACATCAAGTACACTCACAAAAGAATGTCAAATGTTAAAAGAAAGTGCCTCCTAGAGCTAAACATAACTTTGCAGAAGTTCCAGAGATTTCAGAGAAATTTGAAGCCTTATAAATGTGTCCAAGTTTAGAAAGTATGATGAACAAGACCCCCATTCAATCAAGGCAACTCAACTTTGCTTAGATGAATGTGAGTTACAGTTGAAACTTGTATCATGTTGTCTATTCTAACCATTGAATCTAAGTGTTTGTCTAGATGTAGCCCTCACCTAATTTCATTCACCAATCAGCACGAACCTGTGGCAATTCAGAAGATATCTAGGAGAATGTTTCTAGGAGGAGCTTCTATCTGGAGTTAAAACAAAACAAAAAACAGACTACCTTGATGGCCTTCCGATCCCATGGAAACATAGTCCAGGGCTCAACACAATATATGGAGGTAGATGTCAATATCAAAATATATCAAATGAAGAGCATATTACTGTTATCTTCGTTCCCCTGGAAAGAGGAGATAACAATGATCCTTGAAACAATTTCACTGCTGAACAACAGTAAAATACCGATTAGCTACTGATCAAAGCACAGCTACCCATTCCCACCAGCACAAGCAAATCACTTTTCTTATCAAACGTGGTTCAGAACGACAAAAATGCCAATGTCAAAAGAGGTAGCAAAGCAGAAAACTGATAGGAACCCAATCAGTACTGGTGGACATCAGAACTATCTTGCTTTGGATCATTTAATTGGCCCATTACATTGTATTTTCTCTACCAGAAGGAGGCACATCACAAAAGCAATTCTGAACCTATCTACCAAGAAGATTAGATTGACACAGACCATGCTGGCCTCATCTTCAGGCTGGTGTTCTCGGCTTCGTGCTTCCAGGCTTCGTGCTTCCAGGCTTCGTGCTTCCTTCGTGCTCCTGGAAGCACGAAGCCGAGAACACCAGCCTGAAGATGACAAATGAGCCTTCATCGAAATGTCGCCAAGACACTTCCAATTTTACGTGGGAGAAGACCCGAATAACCAAAGACCTACATACAAACACCCGCGAAAACCTGAGAAAACAAATTATATATATATATGTGTGTGTGTGTGTGTGTGTGTGTGTGTGTGTGTGTGTGTGTGTAGGTCTTTGGTTATTCGGGTTTTCTCCCGCGTAAAATTGGAGGTTTCTTGGCAACGTTTCGACAAAGTCTCATTCGTCATCTTCAGGCTGGTGTCTTCGGCTTCGTGCTTCTAGGAGCAATGTGTGTGATTGCAGCTGTTTCTTCCTTTTAACTGCCAGTGGGGGTTGAACTGATTGGGTGGGAGCTTGGCTGTGTTCTGATTGGGTGGAGGTGTGTTCTGATTGGTTGGGGGTTTGGCTGTGTTCTGATTGGATGGGGGGTTGGCTGTGCTCTGATTAGATGGGTGTGTGTTCTGTTTAGGTGGGGGCTTGGTTGTGCTCGGGTTAGTCTGAGTAGCACGGGGATTTGAGCTGGTGAGCTGTGTTGCTGTTGTTTGGCTTCATGTTCGTGGCCGTGCTACCTCTTCATGGTGGGTGTCAGTCTGCTTCATGTATGGATTGGAGGGGTTTAAAGGGGCTAATGATGCCACTGTGGTCTGGCTTCTGGTCCGTGGTCGTGCCTCATCCTCAGTGTGGGTTTGAGTCTGCTTTCTGCGTGGATGTGTGGTGGTTACATCCTGTGTGGCTCTCGTGAGTGTGGGTCTGGTGTCATTCTTTGTGTTAGGGACTCGTTTGTCAGTAAGGGCGGGTTTCCAAATGGCTGGTAGGCGGGAGGTATCATCTCGTTTATTCATGCTGTGTGGACGTTTTTCTATCTCGATGGCTTCTCTGATTATTCTGTTGTTAAAGTGTTCAGTTTTGGCGATAGTTCTGGTCTTTTTAAAGTCAATATCATGTCCTGTGGCTTTGAGGTGTTGGACCAGGGAAGAAGTTGGTTCCTCTTTTTTGACTGAGTTCTTGTGTTCTTCAATGCGTGCACTTATTCTTTGTGGTGTTTTTAATTGTTGTTTGGTGGCCAAATAAATTCAAATGATAGATAGATAGATAGATAGATAGATAGATAGATAGATAGATAGATTCCCATTAACTTTAATATTGTTATATGCAAAATTCTTAACAGCAGTAAGGGAACTAGAAATAAGAAAACTAATTTTATAATTGCACTAGATAAATTATTAATTATAATAATCTGCTGTGAGTACAGCCTTGAAAACAAAGATTAGCCCCATTCTAATCAGATTATGAATAAGAACTTTGACTCAATACCTAAAAATTAATTAATTTTATGATGTTGCTCATCAATGATAACAGAAGTGAAACATCTGTAATTGACTTTATTTCAGTTACTAGAAAATGGAAAAGATACTCACCATTACTAGGGGGCAAAAAAAGTCCATTGATATTACGAGGTTTCCTGTGATGGAAGACACAACTGATCCTCACACAGCCTAAAGGCTGCGTTTCCCAGAAGCATGAGATGCTGTTGTATTTTTGCTATAGAAGAAAGCATGGGTGGTTCCATATTTAATAACGTTCCGGAATGAAATTCTGCAATTCATAATCTAAACTATGAAGAATAAAATTAGAACAAAGCATTCAAAAAAGGCTTTGCATTTTACTGTAAAGGCTTTGCAGTAAACCCCACTACTATTGACTTTGTGGCTTTGCTGAAATTGTTTCGACTACTTTCAAAATTAAAGATCTGACTGGCATCAAATTGGTATCGAACACCAATTAGGTTTCTTTTTTATTATATGTGCTACGGTCTTCCCTGTGGGGAAGGCCTCTTTTATATTTCACACTAAATTGCATATTAAAATTTCACCCACATCCAAAAAATGTTTCACTTAAAGAACAATCTAGGTCCAAACAGTGAGTATTGCTATAGAACCTTCTTTTTATACCGCTGGCTGTATTGATGAAAATTGTAAAATAGGAAAACAATACTAATGCCTATTCTTCTAGTAATATATTTGCACCACAACTATAGAAAACATCTGAAAAGAAACTATTTTTCCTAGTATCCTTGGAATCACAGTAAGTATAAGCCAGAAACTGCAGAAGTTAAAGAACAATTTGGCATCAAATTTAATAAGGCAAAAGATGGTTCATTTTGTTTCTTGGCATCACTTCAATCTCAACTTCAATTTGAAGCCACAGTGACACATCCCAAAGCTACTTATGATTTGGTTTTAAAGTTACAGTGGCTGCCCCCCCTGCAGTCACATGGCTAAATTTTGGGCACTTTGGCACTGTGCCAAATTTTGGGCACTGAAGTTTACTTCCAATTTCCATCAAAAACGTCTCCATTGTGATCCATGGTTCACTTAATGACCATGGCTCCATCACATTTGCTTAACGACTGAGGCAAAAAAGATCATAAAATTTGGTGAGGTCTTGTGGTGACCTGCTTAACCACCATAACAATTTACAGTCATAACTGTGGGCTCAATTATCTTCTACTATCATTCTGAGCAGAACAGATTATGGGAACAGAAAACCCAATTAATGTACAGATGGAGAGTTACTTAAAATTCAGTATTTTTGGTTGGTTTTCTAAACGTAGTGTAAAGTGTGAATGAGTACAAATCTTTAGCTGATGAAACTGTGTGATTAGATGTCAGAAGAATACTGTACTTCTTAAATGTGAAACTAAGATGTCATATCCAACAGAAAAGATTTCAATGGAAGAAAATAGGAGATGTGAAACTAACATGACATATTTTCAGTAATGATAGCAGAGATTAGAAACAGGTGGTGAATTCTTATAATAGTTCTAGTTCAAGAGAGACCACTTAAAAAGCTTGTTATTTCTACCTGTATTTCCATATGTCTAAATTTGCAAAGTTGATGGGAACATTTTCCCTCTCTCCATAATGAACACACAATATCACTGCCAATGGCTTTTTCACAGTGACGGAACCTGCACTTTGATCCCTGGATATAGAAAAAAGAGAGGTTTGAAAACTTGGCTACATAACATTTCCTCTATTTAAATATTTTAAATAATTTTTCAGGTTATAAAACTACTGAAACAACTGTTTGAAATAACAGTCAAACAGAAGATCACAAAAAACAGGAAAAAAAGCCAGCAGAACTAATACTTCTCAAAAAACATAAATCCATTCTAATACCTGTGGAACTAAAGAGTTGATTTAGTGTTGCAAAATACTGAATTTAAATCAAGCAGGGCAATCAATAATCAGATATCATCATTATGCAAGATCTTTCTCCAATCATATCCATCCAATTTTAGAAAGCAGGGAAGATGACAATGTCAGGTGTAAAGTCTGAGTAAACCTTAGCCTATCATTTTATTATAGTTTGGCATTGTGATTTTGTTACTCCTGAAAATATAAACAGAAATTCCAGAGAATCTACAAATTAATTTATATATTGTCAAGTAAGCTCAGCTACTATATAATTTTCACCCAATTGAACTGAATAAAATTAAGTAGTAACCAGAAGTTCCATCAAGAGATAATAACTAGAAGATACACTAAACATCATTAACAATGAGATAGTTTATTGCTATAGTGTAGCATGCCTTAGACATTGTATTTCAAAGTAAGCAAATAAGTAGAAAATTTATTTAGGAATCTAGGATCAAGCACAAAATCATCTCCACATCCTCCAAATTTAGAAGTGGTGAGAATAACATAGAATTATCAACATGGTGATATGATTTCAGAGGATAATTGGGGAACTGGGTATGAGAATTTTTTGATTAGCTACTACAACCAGGAAACTTTGAAAATTATGTTATTGGTTTGAGCTCCGAGCTTGGCGATTTGGTTGCATTTCGTCCCCATTCAAGGAGACATCTTCAGTGTGCTTTGGATTGTTCTTGTCTGGGGGAGTACTGGCCTTTAAATATCTTTCTGAGTCCTGGTCATTTTTTTTAAAATGTTTTGTAAGTTTTATTTTAGAATATACATCAATAGCAATGAACAGTGAGGCATCTGAGCCTTGGTAGTGCAGCAGACTAAAGCACTGTTAAGTAACACCAGCTGCCTGCAATTACTGCAAGTTCAAATCTCACCAGGCTCAAGGTTGACTCAGCCTTCCATCCTTTTGAGGTAGGTAAAATGAGGACCCAGTTTGTGGGGGCAATAAGCTGACTTTGTATAAAAAAGAACACAGCTGGGGGGGGGGCGAAAGCCCTACTAAGCAGGTATATACAAAAGTATGAAGGCTATTGCTTAATGCATTGTAAGCCGCCCCGAGTCTCCGGAAAAGGGCGGCATATAACTCGAGCCAATAAATAAATAAATAAAATAAAATAAATCTGGGTATCATTCATTTGGATACAAGTAATAGTAATATTAATATTTGTTACTTTAATCATATTTATGTAATTGTAATGTTATTATACATATTTATGTTAAAATATAGGCCTTCATTATTTAGTTGTTCAGTTTTTTAGAACTCCATTCTAAAGACAATAACAATATCATTAAAACATACATAGTTACACATCTTTCAACATCTAATCTTTACATCTAGCTGCTACTTTTAGTATATTTTATTTCTTGTTTCTGCCTCTGTTCTAGCTCCTAACAGAGCCAATCTTCTGTTATAAAGCATTTCCTCTACCAATCATCTCTTGCCCGTTTAAGTATTTCAATTCTTATTTGTTTTTTTAACTTGCCCCCCCCCCAACTCTTCCCTTAGGTCTTTATCTACTTCTTTCCTGCCTAATCCAAATATTCCTTCCATCTCTACTATCTTTTGCTGCCAAGCCTCCAGGGTGTCTGCCCAAGTCCCTATCTTCTTTTCAAGAGTATCTGTTTATTCAATACCATCTTTTGGTCTTTTAGTATGTATTTTCCCTGAATTATTTCATAAGTCTTTATTGCCTTCTCCTTCTTGTTGTTTTACTTGTTGGTTTATCTGTTCTATATTTTCCCCAGTCTTTCCATTATCTCCTCTATTTCCTGGGCTTTTTGATCCTCGTTCATTATCCCTTGTTGAACATTTTCTAACTACCCGTCTATGTTATTCATTAGATCCTTTACTTCCCTGCAATTCCTTATCATCATATCATGAATGTTTTGGATCATTGACATCATTTCTTTATGCAATCCACTTATATCCCCCTGATGGAACATCTTGTCTTTTTTTAATAGGTCCAAATATTGCTCAGTAGTCTGTCAATAGTCTATCACCACCCCAATCTCAATTATCTGTAAGCTCAGAAAGTCGACCTGGAAACCGTTTGCTCAATCCTGACATTGCTCCTTAGGGAATACAGTAATTATAGTTCGTTATGTCCCACAATTAGTCTATTAGTTCTATTTGGGTAGTCCAGGAAGATTTCCAAATGTCTCTTTAAATCCACTCTCTGAGTTCAATCATAACTCTTAGTATTTGAGATCCACTTTGTTTAAATGTTCTCACCATTGGAGCTCCAGTAGTCATCACATGGATAAGTATAAAGCAGTAGATAGCACAGCAGTTCTCCAGGTGTTATTTATTTCCCTTTTCTCCTCTATCTTATCAGTATTTTTCCCAGGGTTGTAGGAGTATAATGTCTATTCCAGTGGTGAAATCCAAATTTTTTTACTATTGGTTCTGTGGGTGTGGTTTGGTGGGCGTGACTTGGTGGGCGTGGCAGGGGAAGGAAGCTGCAAAATCTCCATTCCCACTTCACTCCAGAGGAAGGATACTGCAAAATCCCCATTCCCATCCCACTCTGGGCCCAGCCAGAGGTAGTATTTGCCAGTTCTCTGAACTGCTCAAAATTTCCGCTACAGTTCTCCAGAACCTGTCAGAACCTGCTGGATTTCACCCCTAGTCTATTCCATTCATCAGAAGTGGCGTCTTCAGCTAAACTTTCAAGGTTGCACAACATTTGACAAGTTCTTTTAATATTTATTCAAACTAATAATCAAAATTCAAACAAGAACTTCCAGCATTTTAAAATGTCTTGTTGTCAATAGGAATTAGAAATCCAATCTTTCTATGTTTTTAAAATTTTGTGCTCTCCTCTTAGAATCTTTTCTTTCAGGTCAGTGATTTTCTCTCTGTAATTATTCATCGCTTAAACTTTTCAAAGAGTCTCTTTTCCAGGATCTGTTTTCTTTAGGGTAAGTTCTAGGTAAAAGAAATCATCTCACCCAGTTCTAGTCACTGTTCATCCACACTGCTCCAGCACATTCTTTGTTTCTTCAGCTGCCCCAGCTTTATGGCAGCCATAATGGCTGCCTCTCCTCTTCATCGGATGAAAGGGAATTAGCCCTGGGTCAAGCAGGAGAGCTGCCACTCTCTGTGACCTGCAGGGTACCCCTCCACTCTTCGTCACCCCTACAAGGTGAATTTAGCCCCTTATGGGACTCTCCAACGAAGCAATTCGGCATAAATTCGCAGAGCCCAGCTCTTCATGTCTGACAGTGCCATGACGTCAACTGGAAGACTCGAGTCCTAGTCATTTAAAGGCCAGTACTCCCCCAGACAAGCACAATCCAAAGCGCACTGAAGATATCTCCTCAAATGGGGATGAAACGTTTGCAACCAAATTGCCAAGCTCGGGGCTCAAACCAACAACATAACTACCAACCCGACCTACTAATATTCAAAGTCATTTCAACTTTGAACATTGTTTAATACCTATTTTAAAGATATTACATCGAGATCTTTCTTCTGAAACAGGTAGTCTGTCTTCATGAGCATTTGTAAAGATAAATGGAGAGTTTGATCTAATAATTAAGGCATCAGGCTAGAAACCAGAAGAATACAAATTCTAGTCCTGCCCTAGACATGAAAGCTGGCTGAGTAACTTTTGGCCAGACACTCTCTTTCGCAACTCATCTCATGGGGTGGTTGTTGTGGGAAAATAAGAGAAGGAGTATTAGGATGTTAACTATCTTAAATTGTTTATCAAAATAATAAAGGCAGGATATAAATAAATAAATAAATAAATCATAGAGAGTATGAGGGGTCCTTGGTGCAGAGTATGATTTTTGCACTACAGAGTTAAGAAAACATATATTATTTCTGCTGACACTTGTTAATTATCCAGGAAAGTTTATTTTACAGTGAAAACAGTGAGTCCTACGGGAGAAAGGCGGTATAGAAATATAATAAATATAAAACTACTGATGGAAAATGGCTTCCCTGTAATTGGGGATTTCTTTTGAATGGTTTGAAGTGGATGCTCCTGGGAGTGTAAAAAAGATAACCAAGCATAGCAATCGAAAGCACAGGCTTCTGATTCTTTAAATAATGTTATCACTGTTTCCCAGAATGACAGCAATCTTTTCCCATTTCAGATAACGATTTTTGATTTCTTGTAATCCAATCTGAATGCTGCATTTTCACATAAGTACTGGGATAAATCTTTTCCTGATTGCTAAACCTCTCCCCAAAAGATATTAAATTTTATATTCCTGAAGCATTTATCAGTATTTTTCTACTTTATTTCTTTTTTACTGCCGCATCATACCCCACTCCTTACCTTTGTTACCCTACTTATATATATATAATCCAGAAAATTATTCTATGTTCAAAACAATCAAGAGAGCCCATTTATTCTGGAAATAATTAATATATAATCTGCAGTCTTAGAACAACTGTCTATAAACTTCTTTATCTCAGTCGGTAAATCTAGGATCATATACTAAGTCATAGGAATTTACTCCAACAATATATTTTATTATTTATACACCACCTAACTCACCTAGGTGACTCTGAATAGTTTGCAAATAAAACTATTTATTTTAGTTTAGTTTAGCCAAATAAAAGAGACATGGGTAAAAAAAAAAGTTAAAAACAAAAGGAGAGGGGGGAGGGGGAGGGAGGGAGACAGAGAGAGAGATAAAGATGAAGTTGGGACATACCAAGGAAGGTATGGCAAACTGAAGATAGTGATACCCAGGACTGATAACCATGGTAAAGGCCAAAGGATCTATAAGGTTCCTTGCAACCTTTTCAGATATGAAGAGAATGGGAAATTGTTCATACAGTATGTGCTCTGTGCGGCTGCTACTCATAAGGAGACAATAGGACAATGGCCTTTTATGAGTTTGAGCATGAAAACATGAAGGGATTAGCCATTTTACTCAAACCACAGCAAAAACTTTTAAAGTACACCAAGTTTGCAAACCTCACTTTCTAATCACTTTTGTTAGTTTACTTTATTGATTAGCCCTTGGGCCATATCAAAGTGCAGAGTTCCAGACACAAAGTGTTACTAAAATCTGATACAAACAATTTAAAATGGAATTGGATAAAATACAATTTAAAATGAAATTGGAATAAAATACTAATCATTTTTGGAAACTGCCTGTTAACCATTTTAAAGCTATCAGGGATCTTTGGAAGGACCAGTTTGAAAAGTCTTTATCAGAGAGTTTATCTTCAGCTCTGAACAAAAGAAAAGAAAAAAGAAAAGAAAAACTATAAACTTAAGAACCCAAAGAATATTAAATAAACAGCAAAAAGCCAAATAAGATTTGGCAAATATAACTTAGAAGATTATAAATGAACTAAGGATCCAGATAAACTTGGAGTATTGAAACTTTTACAAATAAATAGTATGTCATGGGAATACTGTACATCTGCCTTATATACATATTGTATTTATTTTATACTGTTTTATACAGTTCTATACAGAGATAAGCAATTTCATGATTTAAAAACTGGACAATAGAGGGGACTAAAGATTTTAGGTAGAGGAAAAAAATATTCAAGTCTATAAAATTCAAAATACTATAACAATGAAAATACCAAAGGAGATTTTTGAAGAATGGAGTCAGAAATTAATAGCCACAATCTCAACAATGTCAATAAAGATTTCCGCTTCCATGAACAGACTTTATTCAAAAGAGGTCATTAAACAAATAATAGATCTAGAACAAATTGATGTAGAGATGGTGTTGAAAATAGATTTACAACTGACAGACCAAGAAAAGACTTGGAAAAGGTTGTTTCACTGTATTTACCAAAGAAATTGGCTATTAAAATTCGAAAGGAAATTCAAATAATAACCCAGATTTACAAAAGCGGTTTGTTAAAACCTGTGGCGGAATGTGGTGCAGAATCGCAGGAGGACATGTTCTTTCCTAAGGATCAAAGAGGCAAATCATACAGGAAACTTTGATTGTATGAGACTTGGGGTGTACCCTCCCTAACTTTTTTCAAGGTGTTTCTATGTATCTATTAGTTATGCAGAGTGTGCTTTAGTCTAACAAGATCCCTACCTATAGACAATCAGCAATAAAGAAACCACTCTGAGTAAACTCTTGTGTCATTCTTGATTCCTTGCACCCAACATTACATTGGGAGAAAGGAGAAATGAAGAGCGATCAGATCCTATGACAACATTTGAATGAACTAAAGATTAAGACTATTAGAGGAAAGGAGTATAAACTTGGTTATTTGATCAAGGTTAAAACAAGATATGGTTTTGCTTTTGGCAAACTTTTATGGACTTTCTGCTGATACTAGGACTGAAAAGATGATGCTTTATGGATTTGTCTAAAACAAGTGATGGCTTAAATGGGATGAAGAGATAATTATTTGTAACCTTAAAGATTACTAAATTTGTTTGTTTCTGTGATGAAGGTTGGAAATTACTTCTTTGTATATTTTTCTCTTTATTATATTATTATATTATTACTTTTTCCTCTACCCTTCCCTTCCTTTTATTCATCCATTTTCTTTTTTCTTTCATCTTTCATAGGGCTTGCCCTCTTCACATTCTTGCCTTTCTAACCATATCAGTTGTGCTAGACCAGCCCAGCCCACAGGCTGGATGCGTCACACGTAGGCCACAATATGTCATGCAATGGCAACGTGACATGGCGAGTTTGACACCTGCGTGCCAGACAATATTGTGTGTGCTTCCTTGGTGTCTTTGAGCAATTGCAGGAAAGGAATGGTAGTTATAAACCTAATAAAAGGTCATAGAAATGTTACCTGTTTTTTCTATTTAGAGTGAAGGTAGATAGTATAAATGTATGTTGAAATTTACTAATTTCTTTGGAAAATAAATTATGCAGTCATCAGTTTTCAGAATTCTGACTATCAATATGTCATTCATGAAGATTAAAGATAAAAGAATTTTCATGCTTAAGGGGGGGAGAGAACCATGGAATTATTGGGAGTTTCAGATATATGAGAAGCAGATAGAGGAAAATAGACTGGCCTGAGAATTCAAGACAAATCTGTGGAATGCAAATGTAACTTTGGAAGAATAAAAGAAAGTTGCTGCAGCCATGACTCAATCTGAAATATTACTGATTGTTAAAGGAATTCCAGTTTCCTTTTGATGTGCCATAGAATTATTATTGAAAAATCTCCAATGATCATTCATTCCAAGGTAATTCAGGCTGCAATTTTATAAGATAAGATAACCTTTATTGTCACTTTTCTGTGTAGACAATGGAAATATAATATACAGTGAAAGTAATTGCAAATGACTTTCAGTTTAATAAAAGAATTTGATTGTGCCTGTGACAGTCTTCCTGGCATTTCTTACAATTTGGAAAACTGGGAGGTACATGACAATATAATAGATGCAATCCATTATAAATTATGCAGTATTTACCTTCGCACAGGTTGAATGAACATAGAAAAAACAGTCATCCCCAACTTCTGTCATTTCACCTCTTGTGCTTCTACTCCACTGCCTTTAGAAAGATCTCAGCATAAATGTTGGAATTATCAACATGTATGGGAAGAATATTCCCTTTTGTTCTGAGTACAGCTGAATTCAGGATCTAAGTTCTATTTCCTCTTAAAGGGAAACCTCCAGTTGATAGTTTTAACCAAAAAGCTTCTTATACTAATTGTAAAACAGACGGTACCTTCTTAAGGTTTGTTGAAGAGCTCACAAATTGAAAGTGGTTGCTAGACAGTGCACAAATTCAAACTTCCAGAATTTCTTTCATTGTTACCTTAGTTCTTATGACATCATCACAAAGGACATCATATGACCCCTCAAACTGGGAAAGCTCACTTATTTTCATTGTTCCTAAGTGCTGGAAAACAGGAAGAAGACAGAAATTTCCACATGGTCTACTCATCTGATTATTCCATCATAACATAAATGTATGAAAGAAATAGAACTCAGTTAAGAGAATTTCTGAAACTCACAATTAATGGACAGAACTGAGAATGAGACAAGAAGGAGAATAAAGATCCTCATCCTTTCTATATCAGTAACTCCCAAATTGCCAGGATTTTAATGATTTTAATGATTTGGTTCCTAAGCTTGTCTGCCATCATATACGCTACTAACACATATATCAGTCGATCAAATCTTTATTATGTTCATAGCATAATACACACATATGTTGTATTGAGACTGTTATTTATGGCATGTGCATCAGTAAGTCTTTGAATAACTACTAATATTGCCAGAGAGTGTTGGGCTATGGGATAGATACTTAATTGCATGAAAGTAAGTATAGTTCTTTGCTTGTTTCTTTGGCATAGTTTAAATGCAGGTCCTGAAAAGCTCATTGTCTGGGGATATTTGGGTTAGTTGAAAAAAATAATCTGTTAGAGAGAAAAGCACAGAAATATTGGAAAAAATCCTAAGAAGACCAATCAAAAAGGTTAGCTTTGATTTTTCCACTCTTGTGGAAGGGAGAAAGACTTACTGAACAGTGGTAAAAACATTTGCAATAGTTACAGGAACTCCTAAAGCAGATTTGTGCAGTGCAATGTACGAGATGTTCATAAAAGAAACCATAAAGATGCCATGTGAAAGTAAACCAATTGGTTTCATGGTATAATACATTAATATTTGGAGCTTGCAATAGTTCTACCTATGCCTAATAACAAAGCAACTATTTACTTAAATATTCCTGCATTCATTTATAAACCAATGGAATCAACCAGTTCTCAGTGGTAACTATCAAGAATTAACCACAAAGTTTTAGATACCATAAAGAAAAGATTTGTTACAATATATGAGACATGAATAGAATAACAGATCAGTACATTATTTTTGCTGAGTAGGTGCAGGTCTCATCACAATATTTATGTTATTAATTTGGGAATTCACATTTCATTAGAAATTTTATATTTAGAGTTCAAGAACTGGCTATTTTTTTTTTCAAAGAAGGGAAAGTATTTTAAGAGCACATTAAAAATATTATTTTTTCAAGGAACCTGAAAATAATCATGAATGTGAGACCTATTTGTCCACTAGTTTAAGGCATGAGGCCAGAAACCAGGACACTGTGAGTTCTAGGCCTGCCTTAAGCACGAAAGCAGGATGGGTAACTTTGGCCCAGTCACTTTCTGAGCTCAACCCACTTCAGAGAGTTGTAGGGGAAATAGAAAGAGGAAAGAGGATTAGATATGTTTGTGCCTTGAGTTATTTACAAAAATAACTCAAGATAAAAATAAATAAATAAGTAAATCCCAAATAATTGCTGATCTAAATGTAGCTAACTATATAAGAGCTACGCCAGAGAAAAATGTTAGAAATGGTAACAATTAAACTTGTAAAATATTGTAAATATTTTTCTACTGTATGTGAGCAGTAAGAAATAATTATTTAATTAATTATAATTATTTTCATTATTTCAAAGGAGTTTGAGAAGCATGGTATTAATGCAGACTGAAACTTTACAAGGAATATTTATGAATCAATGGTTTCACACTTAAGACTGCTTTTATATCTTATAGAAGCCATGCATAATTTATCAAAGGAGGCCTCTGTTTAATGAATGCAGCATTTCTGAATGGCTCTTCAGATAAAGAGCCTAATTCTGTGGAATAGTGTCGCCCTGAAGATTTGGATGGCTCCAATTCAGTTACACTTACACTTTTGTAAGGCATTGAAGTCCTGGCTGTTTCCCCAGGCATTTGGATCAGGTAAACAGATAAACTCAATGTGCTCTTTTTCTGCGCATGGGGCTATTTATCTTTGGGTGCCTGGGGTTATATGTGGTTGGTTTTACTGTTTTATTTTTTTATTTTATTTATTTTATTAAATTTGTATACCGCCCTTCTCCTATTGGACTCAGGGCGGTGCACAGCCAAAATAAAAACATCCCAATACAAAATTTAAAATTTGTTAAAAGAATTACACAACTTTGGCCTAAATTTAAAATCCCGACTAAAACCCATTTAATCCTTGCAAGTGACTGAGTCATTTGTATAAAGTGATAAAACCTGACATTAGGTAGTATTGCAAAATCAATATTGGCCATTTCTGACAATATAAGGAACAAGTGGAAAAATTCACATTGCTGTTCCTGAACTCTAGCTCAACCACTGTAGACATGCCACCTTTGGACTGAAAGCATCTTAAGGACCATTGGATAGCAGAAAAGAATTTGCTGTCATCTAACATTGGATCTGGATTTTTTATTTAGTCCTATACAAGTTGCAAGTCCTAAATTTCATTGTATCAAAGAACAATACAATGTAAATGCAAGCAGGTGAATTCTAAAAATGTAAGTTCTTCACTGATAATAAGTATTTCCAAATATTTAAAGCAAATGGAAAATAATTGTGAATGGCACAATATCTTGATTTGAAAACCAAAGTTAAAAGCTAAGGTACTTTTTTAGGATACAAAACAATAAACATTCTTGATTTTATTGCAAGGTACATGACTTTTTAATTTTTTCCTCTCTTATTAAATAATCTCTGATTGCGCGAAATGCATCTGTATGAATTCTTCATATGAACTATTTTTTTTAAAAAAAAATTCTGTAATGTTTTAAGGGTTAAACCACCAAGATCGAGGTGAGTTCTTAACGCTAACTCAATTTCTAAAATTTAAAGCTGTAACAAAGAAGTGGTTATTTGGGGCGCGTGTGTTACGTAGTATTTTCCCTTTCAGATTAACATCCTAGTCGTGCTGGCTGGGAGTTGTAGTTTAATACATTTGATGGGCACCTGGTTGGTAAAGGCTGATGGAGGAACAATGGATCAAAAGAACTCGCCGCCTCTAATTCAGTGAGTAAATCACTCGGAAAGGTGTGGAGCCTGTCTCGATCCGGCCTTGGACTACATTTCCCAGAAATCTTTTCAGTGAGACTTACCCCCGCTGCGTCTGTTGTCGCTCAAGGAGGGCGGCCTCCGGGCTGGGAAGCGGCTTGCAGCAGTTGAGAATTGGAGGCTTCCCGCTTGCAGGGGGCGAAGGGCCCCGTTCTTGGGGCCATGAGCCGCCTGGGCTCGGTGCAGCAGAAGGTGCCCTGCCTCTTCGTGACTCAAGTGAAGGAGGAGCCCTCGGCCAAGCGGGAGCGCCAGGTACTGGGGTCGGAGTTCCCCGCCGGGGTGAAGGGGAACCGCGGGCCTGTCAGAAAAAAAAAAAAAAAAAAAACCCTGGGAAGTCTGAATCGGATATTGACTTTTCCGGACCAGTTGCGGGTCTAATAGAACCAGACACGAGCCTGGCTGCGCGAAAAACAACCTGCAGCATCTGCAGGGAGGATTTATTCGCGCCGGCTTCTCTCGCCCAGTTTTGCAGCACGCCCACGTGAAACTGCCGTGGAGGAGCGGCAGGGAAGGATTTTGGATTAAGAGGTAGAGTCGCTTCACCTCTTCCAAAATCTCTGCCACTTCGGCTTCGCGGAGATATCAGAAGCTGCTTTATACGCAGGACGGCATCCTTGTGAACTACTTAGGTACTGATGGGCCTTTTTTTTTTTTGGTGCAAATATTTACCAATAGCGAAATGCGTGAATTAGTCTTTTGACACTTCAAAAGGAAGCTGGCAAAGTGGAACTCACCTCCTCTGATATTTACCTCCTTGTAAGATTAGGTTTTCAGGGAGAATATTGCAAAATATTGTTCCACCAAACATTTCGGCTGGTACAAAACTTTGCAGTTACCATCAGTTAACTGAATAGGTTTACTTCCTAAAAGCTGTTTGGACAAGTAGATTTTTCAGCAGATTTAAACAACTTTATCCCATCAGATTATTATAAACATTCCACCTCTATCCGTTTTTAATTTTCTGCTGGTTATGTTTCTAATTTCAAACTGAGACTCAGCTACTTTATTATTTACTGAGGTCATCCTTTTTTAAAAAAACAAAAACCTTTGATATAAATTTTTAAAGTGTTAAAAAGAAGACTACATTTGCCAAAAAGTTTACAATGATCATTTTCTTTTCAGACTTTTAAAGTGTTGGCCACCAACTCAATTAATAAAAAGGCTTTAGCTGCAGATATATACAGTGCAATCCCAACAGAAAAAGTGGATGGAACTTGCTGTTATATAACTACATACAAAGGTAATATAGAAGAATCACATCAAAAATGTTATTGTACTAGGTATTGTGTATGTGAACAGGTAGCATGCACATTTTTGTAAATGAGTAATTCAAAATTTTAGGATGTTCCTCTTCCATGTACAGAAAAATGCCAGACAAGTGGGTCCTGCTGCTCACCATGGGTTAGTTTCCTAGTAACATTTCAATTTGAATAGTATAATGTAGCTGTCAATTTACAATCATGTGGAAGAATATGCTACCTAAGCCATAGAAGTGTGTCTATGAAGGTCCCGAATGTTAATATTAGATAGGTACCTTGTCCAAAGAAATTCCAAATATAGCCATATCTGAGAGCTTTATCTTGCAGTCTTTTAGTTGAAGACCATCATACTCAAACAGCACATCTTACAACCAATTTTTTATTTCCTAGTGTTTTCCCACAAGTGTAGGATCTGTTTTTTTAGATCAACTAAATATAGTTTGTTGCTAAACACTGGTACGAGACTGTATTATTGGATAATTGCTTAGGTTAGAATATGACAAGTAATCGTAAACAAGGACAGAAATATCCAAACGTGTGTAGGCTATTCATCTTTTTAGACATTAGGTTTTCTAATATGCATGTACATTTCTGTGTAAAATTTCATTTAGTGATAATTTATAA